ATAGAACAAATAGCGATTAAAATATCATAATCGGTTGTAGTACCACAAGCAATTAAACTGGTAATAACATTTTCACATTCCTGAGTTTTACTCAAAATACCAATGTAATTTTCAGACTGTATACAGATTTCTTGCATCCAATTAGATAAAAGTAATAATGTTCTGTTTGAACTTCTCTTGTTATATGTCTTTGCTATAAGATTAAGTATTATAGATAAATGTCCACTTGTAGGTGACGTTGTTGGTACATCTAATGTTCCAGGAAACATATCTATTGGGCGGCATGTAGTTATTCCTGTTATTAAACTAGAACTTGGTACAAAATGATTATACCTGTAAAAATTTCAAATTACATCAAATATTTTTAATCTAACATAATTTAAATACTTATATAATTGATTTAATATAGAGAAGGCTCTTAATAAAAAATCTACAAAATCTTTGTATTTATGTGATAATACTTAAATAAATAAATATTTGGCATATATTTACAAGAAAAAAATATAATATATAAAAATAATATTACCTAGAGCAATGTGCATAAAGCAAATACAAAATGCTATACTGTAACAATGGACTGGCAATAGATAATGCTGGATCATACGGTTTTAATTTAACAGCAAGGAGTTCTAAGATTGTTGGTTTTAATGCCCACATTCCAATTATCGAATTACTTGCATTTGCTGAAAGATAATAAAGATTTTAAACATTTGAACATTAAAAAGTATTATACGTGCGTTGATTTTTAATATACTTTACCAATATCTGAAAGTGCACGTAGAATAAAAATAATAACAATTTCAGCATCTGACTTCTTATATTGCACATCGGTGAAAGGATTGTCTATGACTAAGCAATCGATGTCTCTTATAAGTTTGTAAGCCACTTCTAAATCAGCTAATATATATCTGTATGCCTCTTGTAGTAATGGAATATTCTTTAAACTCAAAAGGCTGTGATATACACCAAGGCTGGCATTTTGAATAGTTATAGAATTTCTGAACCTTAATTTTAATAAGGTGGAATTTTTTCCCAGCAATTTATGCACCAGTTCTAAAGGTAAATTAGCTGATACCTCTTTAATTACTTTAGAGATGGTGTTCAACATAGAAATAATAGTGTCGTCCCAAAAAATGTTGACTCTTTGCAATTGAAGATCGATGAATTTATAAAGAAGATCATGATTTTTAGTCACACGACTTTGAATATATCCTAGAAGCAAAAATGCACATTCGTTTGCAACCACGATCAGTTCTTCTTTTTCTTCTGACAAATCGATATTTTTTTTTCTTTTGAATTCCATCGAAGCGAGTACGTTCATCAGAGATTGTTCCTTTTCTTTGGAAAATATATCTTTATCAATGACAATTTTAGAATTTTTATAATCATTTTTCTTGCTGATGTATAAACATTTAAGCATCTTTATTAAATTCTCTTCCCTGATTTCTTCCTTATTAAAACTTTTCAAAAGTATTTCAACATGTTTTTGCGTCGAATTCATATGCCTCGCGCATCTAATTACATTATCATGATTTTCAAGTGGTGCGACAAGATTTTGTGACCATTCCTCGTAACCTTCATTTAATTCAATTGCTTTTACTACAGTTTTTAACATTTTTGATAGGCAATCCATTAAAAAGGACCACTGCACATTAGGTGTAAGATTAGGATTCAAACGATCAGATATACTTTTGGTCACAGTATTAAACACAGATATCAAAGATGTAATGCGAAGTATACATTCTTTAGGTGTCGGAAATGTTACATCGCCAGGTGAATTTCTACCAGATTCAGGTGAAGTTAATTCTTCATCGTAACTTTCCATGTCTTCCAAAAATTGTCCTAATAATGTCAATGTAAACTGTAAATCTGTAATCCAAAATGACCGTAATTTCTGCAAGCTTTTACTCGCATAAGCTATGATAGATCTTTGTTGTGTTGAATCTATATGCCATCCCACTAAAATATCGACCGTATCACGGAAATGATTGGAAAAAGTCTCGGGATATGATTCGATTAATAATAATATGGCATCCACTGTAGCCACTAATAAGTCTGATCTATCAACATTTTCCAACGTTGATTGCAATTGTGACATCATAGACTGAAATAAAATTAATTATCATTATGCATCTTATTTTCACCTAAGGCATATATTTTGTGTATTAAAAGAAATCTGATTAAATACCACTGAGAATTCCTTTAATCTTGGTGTTTCTGCATCCAGTTTGAGCATTTCGACAAAAGATTTGATTAGAAGACATTTGATGTCATCTTTTCTTTCCAAGGCATACTTACTAAAAGTCCATTCTAAAAATCTACAAAAATAAAAATAAAGTTAAACACCACCTGCATACAAAAATAAAATATTATTCCTATTTATAAACTTATAAAAAATTATAATGAATACCTTTTGAAATCTTGATCTACCACATATCCGATACGACCTAAACATTTAGTAACATGCTGCTTTGCATCCGGTCCAGGACCAGAGTGTAGTATATCTAATAAGCTTTCGCAAATATGCTCCAAGCTCCGTCGTATATATCTTTGATTTTCAGGTGCTAGTATACCTTCTTGTAATTGTTTGCAAAGCATCATGAAATGATCATAATCATCTTCACGGCATAATCGCCTCAAAAGTTTAGAAATTCTGGACTCCTCTGTAATGTAAATAAAATTCTTGTTAACACAAATCTAAACAAAGCGTAGAAGATACAAAACTACAGAAAATAATAGATTCCAACCATTTATTCTTTTATCGTCATAGTATTTGTTCTGCGAATTTTCTTGATTTTTCAACGATTCTTGAAACTTCGGTTTAGGTACCGAGTGATAACTGGGCTCTGCATTTGCATCACGTTCAGATGTTTTCTTAAAACCTCGACCACGTAATCCTCCTCTACCACGATCTCCTGAACTGCTACCACGAGCCATTCGAAATTCATTGCGTGGTATCCCACTAATTCTATAAGATATAAATATTACAAACAAATTTTTCAAAAGTACTGCAAGTAATATGATATTACATGAAGATAATAAGACAACGAAGAAATAAATTTAATAAGAATAAAATCTCTACCTTGGTTTAAACTTAGAAAATGAATGATCCGATAGATAATTGTTGGTATTTCGTTGGCAAATAACCAAAGTGCCACGAGGGACATTAAACTCGTTGATACCAAAGTTAGTCAGAGTACCTCCGTCTCCTTTATCGGTATCACTTCCTTGACTATTACAAGGAGACTCTTCTGGTGTCTCTGAGTTCCTTGGTCCACGTAGCTTCGTGTTAGTATTAAAGCTCCCACAGCTATTCATTACATTACTCAGCGGATGGTCTGCATGACCTACATTTCAATCATATAGCCTATAGTTAATTTAAATACAAAATACCTATGCATATGAAAATATATTCTATACTACATTACATTCATTAATTTATAAACGAATGAACACAATCGAATCCATGAATTTTAAAAACACATTGAAACATAAATATACACAGATGTTTTAATTAATTTGTACGAACAATCTCTTATAATAATATTATTTCACAAAACTACTTTAATCTTGAAACATTTTCATTGATAAAAGCATTAGCATGCAAATTTCTTAATTATTATATCACAAATATATCTCATGAACAATAAGAACAAAAAAGCACTTCTTTCGACATAGGATAACAATGAAAATTACGTAGACCGTATTTTTACTTCAAATTGATATTCATAATAGTTTTGAAAAGGAGAATAAATGAAACTCTGTAGATAAATAATCCCGATAAAGACAAATGTATTTAAAAAAAAAAAACAAAAAGTAACGTATCATAACCAAATACGTAAAGTAAAATCTAGTCGAATAGATAATATCGACAAGAAACTGGACAAAAATTCAATTTTACGAAAATATAAAATAATTTATAAGATAAATTATAATTACATATGCATATAAATATATATATATATATATATATATATATATATATGTGCGTATATGTGTGCATATATATATATATGCTTTTGTGTATAGAAATATTTTTAATGTTAGACTATAAAGGAAACGAACAGATCGAACTATACAGAAAACGTATTGAAATGTAGACACCTTTTATATTAGTGAAGCATAACGTTAAGAAATAATTAATTACTAACATTAATATTACCTTTTGTCGACAATAGCTTTTTTTTATATGAAATGTATTAAATATTGTGCAATCGATTAATCAAAAAAGAAGCATAAGCTAATCAGTGCACAACATGCGTGATTTTCGCAAACCATGTAGCAAACGCATACTGAACACTTGCATAAACAAAATAGTTCACAGTATGGTTACTTCGATACTGTACATAAAGGTCAAGTCCATTCTCATGGACTCTATTCTTCTAAGGTTACGTTTTAAATATTTTATTGAATATAAACAAATTCTTAATTATATACAAGATACTATAAAAATAAAATTTGTTGATTATATATCTTATAACTTATTGAATTTGTAATTATGTGTATATAAAATTTTATATACGAATAATGAATAGTGTTAATAACCATTGCGGAGATAACCAATCAGAAATGGTTATTATGCGCGTTTTTTCAAACCGAAGACAATTTTTTTTTCAAAATTGCCTTAATCAAATTTTTTAAGGCAATAAATTGAGATATAAATTTAAAAAATAAATATTTTTATTAATTTATTATAGTAATATACTACTTTTTTTTAAAACAATTTTTTATTTATTATATTATAACTAAAAAAGATAAAAAGGAAAAAAAATATTGGAACTTATTAACATATATTTATGTTACCATGAAAAACCAAAATTGGAGAATGTCAAGATTGATCGTTTAATGTATAACCGAAATATTAATGTATAAAAATAAACCCAAATATTCAGTCTTTCGTCAACGTATTTGATGTGTTTATATTTCACCATGTGAATCTTGACATTCTCCAATTTCGATCTTTCACGGTACATATATATATAAAACATTGTATTATAATGTATATTTTACTGTATTTATCTATAATAATGTACCGACAAAAAAACATATTTTATTCAAATATATTAGGACTTTTAAATACTTTATGGATATAGGGTAATTCAAATATCATCAAGCATTGTATACCATCAATAATATTTTTTTACATATCTATAGACTACAATATTGCTATAAACTTGTAAAAGTAAGTCAATGGTCATCATCATCCTCATCAAGGTTCGCAGTTTCATATTCTTTCATTTGAGGTGTATGTGGCCAGATGGAAGGATTGTATACAGTGCCGCAAGCACATTCTGGATGATATTCTAAGAATTCTTCTATTGTCATATCACCATACGGCATAATAGCTTTTAATTTATTAATAGTTGCGGTAAAGTTCTCAATGTCTTTTTCACATTTTTGGCGGAATTGTTCAACCTCTTGAAGCTGAATATATACACATATAAAAAAGACTTACAATGTATATAAAATGATATTTTTTAAACTACCTTTTGTATAACTAAATAAAGAAGAAAGACAAGTGTTTATAGAGAAAATATTTTACCATAATTTTTTCTTCGCCATCGATAAGAGAAGTATATTTGTCAGCTGGGAACGGTACTTTTAATGCTTCGTACTCTTTCTGGAATTTTTCAACGAGACCAGGCGTTGTTACATTCTTTCTGTAATATTCCCAATTAAGTTGTGGTGAAGTTTCTGGATTTGCCATCATCCTGAAAAAAAAACAAAATTTAATCTAAGAAAACATGATATAAATGAATCATTTGACAGTTATATTATTGGACTATAAAAAAATGTAATATATGTATACAATAATTGTATTAAATAAAATTAAACGTATTTACTTATTCTCAATTACTTTTGTTGCATCCACTAAAATATTATAAAATATTATATTATGTAATGACAGATTATTTTATGAACTAACCGACGTAAATATTGATCCGACTTCGCTTTAAATGCGATAAAAAGACCTTTCTGTTCTTCTGGAACTCTTTCAGCTATTGCTGACCAATTAATTGCTTTAATCGCTCTTCGCGACATTGTTAACGTTTAATATTAAAATATAAAATGGTTAACAATCACGACACTCCAAACTAGAGGTACCAGGAACCACACCAGACTATCAAACAGGCAGGCACCTTAAAAAACCACGTACTCTGTTGAGTTTAACATAGTTTTACATAACTTTAATAATTTATTGGTCAAATATAAATTCGTCTTGAATCAATCATAGAAACTAGCCTTAAGGAAAAGTATAGAAGAGGATAAGGAAAGAAGATTAACAAATAGGAAAGAAAGAAGGTTAACTTAGTTTTCAATGGTAGACAAGCGGGGGCGTTACCGAGCGTTGTCGAGTCAAAGTCAGCAATTGAGTTCATTGAAACTCGGCCGAATCGAGACGAGTTCGTACGAATAAAACTGGATCGATAAAACAGGAATATGCTCGTGAAGGGGGCAGACTGGGGTGTCGGCGAGGGTGGGCGGCGATCAGGCGGTTGAGCATAAAGAGGATAGGATAATATCGGTGTGCGCGCGTCCTCTTGGCTAACTTCGATTTCGCCACTTTAATGTCGGCGGAGACGAGGATGTAGTTATGCCGAAGAAAAGCACGAAGCATGTGAAGGAATCTGGGATAACGAGAAGCTCCCATCATCACGGTTGCGATTCCGGCACGAGCACGGATATCAAAGTGAAGCACTTTCGAAGTGTTCACATTGGCGTTACAAATGGAAAGCGTTGGTTATCTCTTAAAAAAAGACTCGGATTGTCGACAGACGAAGACCTTGCAGTTTATCTTCTCGATCTTGCAGAATCTATCGTCAGGTAGGTTCAACGGTTTAACAGGCTATGACATAGTTCTTGGTGTGCATTTAACATTTCGACTTGCATCAAAGAGTTCTCTTTCTCTATGCGCATGGGGGTAGCTGTCACTCTGTCGGGGTTTTCCCTCTACTGTCAACCGTCTGTTATACTCAATCGCCATCTTGCCGCAACGCGCCGGAGGGGCAAGGGAGGATGATCGATATCTGATCAAAAGCGCGGGATAATGGTCTTGTTTTCAATACTTTTCGAAATTATGTCAATCGTTCGATCGAGTTATATTTAGATCAATACTTTTTTATGATGATTTTTATCAAAAGAAATAAAAGATTATATATTTCTAGGATTTTAATTCTTATTATAATCAAACAATTTTATTTGCAAAAAAGTAAAGAAGACAGCCGCGAATCAGTTTTACTTTCATAATTTTTTGAAAAATATCTATATATGAACGAAATCTATATATATTGAATTAAATTTAAAAATTATTATAATTAACTGTATAACAATTTTGATTAATTTTATGTAATTAACGTCAGTAAATTATGAAGATACTTGATAGTTGTATTATTTTTTAGACAAGATAATAAATGCAATGGTCTTGAAGAATGGAAAACAGATGGCAAAGAAGAAAGGAACTCAGAAATTGTCAAGACTGAAAATTCAATAGAAGATGCAGAAGAACCTCTTCGTCGAAGCCTAAGAAAGCAGAGTACTTCTATATGTCCAGAACCTGATGTTTCATCTACTGACACAATACAGTCTTTACAAACAGAAGTACACGATGATGTTATCAAGCTCCATGTACGTCGTAGTTCAAGATCTAAACATCATAAAAATAAGGCTAAACATCATAAAGACAAACGCAAGAAAAGAAAACACTTGAAAAGTGTACAGAATATAGATGCAAATAAGGATTATAGATTAGAAGAAGAAAAAAGTCCCATTAAAAATACAAATTCAGTTATTTGTAACACAGAAGTAAATTCAGAAACAGATAATAAATCTAAATTAGATGTAGAATGTTTTCATGTCGCTCCAAAAAATATCGAATCTATTATGACAAAGACTGAGCATCATATAGATAGCATAGGATTTATAAAGGATGTAAATAGTGAAAAGAATGAGTTAAATTGCAATAGCAAAGATATCGATATACTTAATGAAGTAGCACAGATTGGAGAAGATACATCTAAACAAAATGTGCAACTGCAAACTACTCCAGCTGTATCATCTCCTGAAAGAAATATAATGAATGAATCTGTTGTCAAAGTTGTGAAAGATATATTAAGTTCTCAAAATATGGAAAATGCAGAAAATAGAAAAATTCATGATACGGAAAACAAATTGCATAAGGAACAAAGCACAGAATCTCAGGAAAATAGTAGTTCAATTTCTAACGTACTAGATGAAACGGAAAATGCTAAAGCTTTGGAAGAACGTAAATTAAAAAAGAAACGGAAAAGACTAAAACATGAAACAGACGGGGAAGAAAATATTGTCAGAGATACGTGTGATGATTTTTTGGACGATGCCATGCACAAACATAAACGAAAAAAGCACAAGCATACAAGCGAGCACAAAAATAAAAAGCATCATGACGTGCGTAAAGCACCACAAGATGGAATCATTACTCAAGAGGAGACTTCAAATTTGAATATAGTAGAAAATGAATCTGTTATTTCGGTAATAGATAAAACTCAAAGTGATGTAAACTTTGATGGTAATATATCGGAGCCTCACAGATTGGCAATTACAATTAAACTCTGCCAAGATTGCAACAGTCGGCATTTACAAGATGCCTGCCCACTTAATACACCACAATATACTATAACAGACTCTATAACATATGAAGATTGGATAAATAAATACAAAGAAAATCTTGAAGTAATTAAGGCTTTAAAGTCTGATGATCCAATGTCGGAAGGTTACGGGAGATTACCAGATGATGGTTTTGAGTCGGATGAAGATTCAGTATCTGTAGATCATTGTAAATCGAAATCGAAGATACAGAGGGAAGAAAAGCAATTACTTATAGATTCAGACAGACCTTTGTATGCTAGAGATTCTTTACCCGAATGTTTTGAATTGAAAATTACAACAACGGAGCATGGTCTTGGAATTTACGCCAAGAACCCAGTCCCCATGTATGCCAAATTAGGTCCATTGGTTGGTAAATTTGTAAAAGAAATGGATATACCGGATGATTTTCCTATGAGACATATTTGGGAGGTAAGTTTAATATGTGATGAATTTTGATTATATTAAATAAATATAAATAAAAAAGCGCTTATATTAAGAAATTATTTACTTTCTTTTTAGATAGATAATAATGGTAAAACTTCATACATCAGTACCACTAATCCATTGAAAAGTAATTGGATTCGTTATATGAGACCAGCTGAAACCAAGGAAGGAAGAAGCGTTACAGTAATTACAAAGCAAGGTGAATTACATCTTATCACTACACAAAACATCATGTCAGGAATGGAATTAACTTATTGGGCAGATTCATTGTCTTCAGCATGGACTAGGAAAAATAAAATTGATAAAACAAGTATGTTAATATTATTTTATATTAATGTTAATAATTATAATTTTGTAATTAATTATTAATTCGATTATACTCTTAGATTGTGGTGGATGTAATTTAAATTTTGCCCATCCTATATATTATCGTCTGCATTGCTGCATTTTTCACGATACCAATTATAGTTTGACTATTAGAAAATATCATTGTAAGGTAAGATGTGTAAACTAATTTTATATATAAAATAATATTTTTACATTAATATTTATATATTTTGCACATATAACAGAAGATTTTCTATTAGGTATGTGGAGCTGCTGTTCTAGGAAAGGACAATATTATGAAACATGCAGCAGAGTTACATGCAGGACGTGGTGCATACCAATGTCAGTATTGTAAAAAATTTTTTTTAAGACTGAACTATCTTGAAATGCATAGAACGTATGGATGTGCACAGAATCCGCAACGTTCTAGACCTTTGTGTGATTTTTGTGGGCGTAAATTTTGTCAACCTCAGAAACTCAAAGTACACATTAAAAGAATGCATAGTGGTAAGAATACAATTAATATACAATTAATGTACAATTAGAGATCATTTATATATTAATTTTTCTTCTTTAATTGTTATTTATTTCATTTCAATAGATATGTCGGAAGTACTCAGGGAATTCCAATGTAAACTTTGCTTAAAGCTTTTGGGCTCTCGTGCAGCTCTACAGCGACATATGAAGGAGGTTCATCATAAAGATGTAGTAGGAGCAGCAACATGTGATCGATGTGGAAAAATGTTCCAGAATAAAAGTAACTTAAAAATACATATGTTGACTCACAGTGGTGTTAAACCTTTCAAGTAAGAATATTATGTTAATATGTTTTATTATTAAATAGTACTAACTTTGTACTGTATACATATTTTTTGTATATATATATATTTATGTAATATTTTTTAAGAAAATTACATCTTTCACAGATGTAAAGAAAATGGTTGTAAAGCTGCTTTTACTACAAAGCAATGTTTGCAATTTCATTATAAAAAGGTACATGGTCTCACAGAGGAAATGATGCCTAAAATTGAAAGATCCGTTGCATATACTTTCGATGCGTACAGTGGTGGTCTTGTGGAAGATGTTGGACGTGGCAAAACTCCTCGTTTGAGTAGAAGAAATTCACAAGTATGTATTTACTATATTTCTAATAATATAGTAGATAAAATAGATAAAATATTCGGAAATATAAGCAATATTTTGTTCTTATTGCAGGATAACAGCAACAGTTTACCATCTTTGGATGAATGTAGTTCAGAAAGTAGTTTAAAAGTTGAAACAACTACAAATTCTACACATCCTGCTATAATGGAGTTTCCAACTGGTACGAATACTACACCCAAATACACAGTGGAGCATGATACTAAAGTATCTAGTGCTTCTACGCGTATTACGATGCCTGTGTCAAGTGGTATTGATACAAACATAGAGAATGTACGTACAGATGTAGATTTGTATGCCGCATCTAGAATACAAAGTAAAGGAAGCAAAAAATGGTTAGGTGAATTTAATCCTACAACAACGTCGGACTTACCAACTTCTCATCTACAACCTGCCCCACAAGATGTATATGAATTCGAAGATAGCAGAAAAGAAGAGGAAGAGAAAACAGTCTCTACAACTGCTACAACACAATCTTTAATAGATAGTAGTAAGCTAGGCCTTAGTGTATACAGAAGAACAGAAAGTGCAAATGCTAGCTTACTCGTTGAAGCAGCTTTAGATGCTGCTGAAAGAGATATAGGAGCAGTTTCTAGTCCA